TATTCCTCTCTATACTACACTGTGTTTGACTTGATAATGAAATGAAGATAAACAGTATTGTTGTTTGAGGCAAAAAACTATTACTTGCCGTCATTATTCAAAAACAAGTTATCCATCCCGAGAATAACGAATGAAATACAGATCAAGCAAGTGATTGAATCTTGAAGGCTTCTCTGATCAAAACAAAAATACTCAACTGAGATGTTTATAATTCCAATACTGGCAATACTTAACTATAATAAGGTGTAATAATATCTCCAGCATCGGCATGAAATGCCAAATATGCCGAAATCAGAAACAAATCAGGTATGCATCTCAACCCAAATAACCAACCGTAACAACGTCGTTCATTCTTGATGACTTGATCCTTTTTAGTTCCTAGGAGCTAAAGTTCAACTTTAGCTCCTAGGACCTAACGTTCCACTTTAGCTCCTAGGAACTAAATATGTTGCCTAGCAACATACCTACTTTTGTGTCAGTAATAGAAACGTCAATTTAAGGGCTAATTTTGGTATCAAAGTGGACGACTTTTGTGTCGGTTGCAGAAAAATAATTTTTGTTCGCAAATCAGTCAATGTTTGTTCAAAGGTGGTAAGAGAAAAACATAAATAATACGTATTTTTTAGCCAAATGTTCCGCGACTATTCTACTTTTTTCCACCGTTGGTGAAAGAAAGATGCTTTTCCACAGGAAATGTTCAATAACGTTCATGGCAGATAAATACAGGGTGATCCACGTAGGCAACATATTGAAAGATTTCAACTTGCAGTTGGAATATGAACTTGAAGATTGGTATGTTGTTCTAATCGATCATTTTCAATACACCTAAAATATTTTCAGTCTATATGTTTGATTTTCCTTAATCTCTTGAAGCTCACGAAAGGAAATTCCTATGATTTGAGCATAGTGGCTATATCCAAGTTGGAATTCCTATAATGTTCGGAAACATCGAGCATACCTAGGGAGGAGGAGGGAGAAGGAGGTAGCTGTTGGGCTTTTTTTAACTTTCGGAGGTTGTAAGCTCATGGAAATACCTCCATTGGCAAATAATTCTAAAGATTTGCCGTTTTATAGACGAACGAGTTTTGGTAAAGTGTTGTTCGACATATTCCAAGGTTTACAACGAAAGACTGGGCCTGTCGAGTTCGTCTACTGGTATTGCTAGTGATGGAATGATACCAGAGATTTCTGAGGATCATTTCCCGTTCGAAGTATCTATAGAAAAGTGAAAGGTTGTCGAGTTTTCTACGGTGTTCTAATATGGTCAAGGGATTAATGAGTGTGGTATCACCCACCAGGCGAATGACTCTATTCTGGATAGGAACAAAGAGCATCAGCGTATGTTTAAGTGCTGAACCCCATATGTGAGAACAGTATTCTAAAACTCGCCGTATCTGTGCTTTATTGATCATGAAAAGCTATTGAGGTTTTTGTGAAGCAGCATAGATAAAGTGGCCCTGGTAGGAATGGTGGTACCAGATATTGTTATATACAGGCTTGAGTTTTGGTGGCGTTGAATTCAACTAGGTTGTTATTGGTTCCTCAGGCTGTAATTTCAGCAATATCGTTATCGACACAGCCCTGACCTGCCTTCGTCGTAAGATCTTAGTTTTCTAGGGAGAAATGGAAATTCTATAAGAGAACGCAGTATGGGGAGTACCATAGTCTGGAAAGCTGTGGATAGGGCAAGTGGTTGCTCCTAACAGATCATTGCATGATATGAAGTAGGAACAATATGCCAAAATGAATCCTTGTGGAACTTTCGAATCGCACTCAGGGGCCCACAACTTGGAGTACGGGAATGGTGAACTCTAGGTACCCTAGCCGGATATTCACCAAACTTAATTTTGTCTTGGGTGATATCCTCTTCTATCTTCCTTTTTCAATCTATCCTATCGGCCTTCCTTGGCCAGCTTTTCTTTTCCTCTTCCCCTCCAAGCCTAACCCCAACATCAAGTGGTGTGGGGAGGACAAACGCGGCCGCTTGACTGATGAAGCAATTTTCTTCATGTTGTGGTTCCCTCGAAAAGGAATATCCTGTAATGTTCAGAGAACATCGCGAGAACCAAGGAAAATGAGGTAGGAATTGGTGTTCTTCTTGAATTTCTGGAGGTCATATGCCTCGGGGAACACCTCCCTTCGCAATATTTTCCAGTGCCTCGCTGTTCGTTGGATGAACGAGTCTTTGGAAAGAGATGTTCTGCAGGTCTCCAAAGTGAAAACTAAGGGGGGCGAAGCCTCAACTCGATGGGTTAATCTCGCGGGGACTGCCAAGGGAGGTACAATTGTTGATATTTCAGAAGAGCATCGTCCATGAAAATATCTATAAAATAGAGCCAGATCGCCAACTTTTCTACGGTGTTCCAGAGAAGTGGATGAGTTTGTGAGCGAGGCATCACCCACGAGACGAATTGCCCATTTTTGGACTGAATCCAACAGTTTTAGGGTATGTTTGGTCGGATCTGTGCCTTATAGATCATGAGCAGCTGACTGGAAGTGAAATAGCTCCTGGCCCTAAACAGAAAACCAAGTTTTTGGGATGCACTTTCCGCAATTGATATTACGTGATTTTCCCAAGAAAAGTTATTGCTGATAGTAATACCAAGCATCGAAATGAATGTCTTCAAAGGTATGGTTAGTCCTTACATGCTTATGTTTGGCACAGTGAGATCGGCTTCTCTATAGAAAAGACATGCTTGTGTTTTGTTTGCATTGAAATCTACCAAGTTATTGGATCCCCATTCGAGAATTGTTGCCAAGTCCATATTTTGGGACCATCTTTGCTATCTCCAGGCCAGATGGGACAAATATTTGTGGGCATCTGTATTGAGGATGAGGTGATTTACTGATATGTGTTTAGGTGGCCAAGAAATGGTCAACGAGGCTCTGGCCACCTGATCCAAGCTATGGGGCTTCTGAGAAATAGGGCGCATCTCAAAGTAAACAGCCTTAGCCCTGTGCAGGGGGCACCACAGAGCTTCCCTTCCCCCGTCACTCGTGAGAGAAGGAAAACTTTTGGCCTTCTTCGTACACGAACGAAAATGGTATTTCATATTGAATGGTCCTTAATGAGCACCATGAGTCGTATAATATGGTAAAAGTGATAATGGCATGTAGGTAAGATACAATGGGCCACTAGGCCTAAGTGTCGTCGGAGACATCAGTCAGACGAGCCTACAAACGGGGTGAAGTGTTTAGTGGGTGTACCCTGGACTCTCACACTATCGAATGGGGGATTGGACCCAAATGATGTCCATAAAGGATTTCAACCACATCGACGAAAAAATAAACGTCGGTATTGAAGGCAATGGTATCAGACGATACTCCGTCCACCACCGTCAAACGATTACGAAGATATTTGCATTACAAATTTCCATATGCTCAATGAGTGTGAAAGAGAAAGAAGTTCGATATTGCGCCGTCACACCCATTGAGCATAATATGGAAACTTCGAATGATATCTTCGTAATCGATTGAAATAATCCAATCAAACACGGTGTGTTTGAATTTATTTTGATAATTCCTAACCGATCATGGAATAAAATAGAGGGTGTCCTATCTATAGCGGTTAGCCACCTCGAAAAATCTCCCGCTATTATGAACATAAAGAAAATTGAAACAAACCTAGAAATTCTAACCCCCACTGTATTTTCAGTGAAGGTCGAAGGGTATCATGTTGACATTTTTCTCCGTGCATGTATACGGTGGTGTTATGCAAAGTTACGAACTTTCAGCCATCGAACATCAGAGGTGGCATCAAAGCTTTCGCATCTGGGTAGTTTGGTGATTTGTATCATAGATGCTTCAAAAAGCATGCCTAGTAATAATAGCTTTTGACCTCGACATTGATAAATACTAAGCAAGACCTTTTTTTCCAGTTTGTTTGAACACCTTTCAGGAAGGCATTCAAAAAAGTCCCACGACCTCGTAGTCGCTCGGCTTCGCTAAACGGTTCGCCTCGCAAATGCAAAATTCGCTTATCAAACGAAGTGTCACTTTTGATCCTAATAAAACAATCTACTATTATTCTTGATGACCTAGTACATCCTTTCTACACCTTTTTCAATTGTAATTCAGAAAGTGTAACTTGTAATTCAGATTAGTAAAATGCAAGTCAGAAAGTGTAACTTGTAATTCAGATTGGTTAATTGTAATTCAGAAACCGTCAATTGTAATTCAGATTAGTCATTCGTATTTCAGAATGCATAACATGTTATTCAGATTAGCGAAATGTAATTCAGAAAGTGGAACTTGTAATTCAGAATAGTCAATTGTAATCCATAAAGCGTAATTTGTTATTCAGAAAGCATCACTTGTAATTTATAAATACTATGGACTCAAATAAGCGTAGGGAATAGAAATCAACGAATGGTATATTGTGTGGTGAACATCAATATTTTATATTTATCGACCAACGGGCATATCTTGAAATGCCAGAGCTGCAGCATGGTGAATGGTGGTGTGTTGTGCAGCCCTAGCACAATCACCTCAAACAATTGTATCTTTGGGCCTGGTCAATATATTCTGTTCAAGATAAACAAGTCGTTGTTCTCCAGGAGAATGGATGCATACGGGGTGTTATGCTTCCTAAATTACAATTGACGGTTTCTGAATTTCATTTCACTATTCTGAATTACAATACGTTATACTTTCTGAATTACATTTCACTTATCTAAATTACATATATTACGCTTTCTGAATTACAATCAACTAATCTGAATTTCAAGTTATACTTTATGATTTACAATTAACTATTCTGAATTACATCTTATACTTTTTGAATTACATCTTATACTTTCTAAATTACAATTGAGAAAGGTGACGTTCCTAAGAGCTATAGTGCAACTTTAGCTCCTAGGAACTGAAGGTGTTGCCTAGCAACATACCTATGTTTGTGTCAGTAATAGGAACGTCAATTCAAGAGCTAATTTTGGTATTAAAATGGACGACTTTTGTGTCGTTTGCATAAAAATGTTGTGTTCTTATGTGTATTGTTACAGGCTATCAATTATCTGGACCAGTGCGAAGGTTGCCACCAGTGCGAAATGTGCGAGAAAAGACAGAAGGAACTGCTGTCTGGAAACGTCCTGACGAAAACGTTCTTGGAGAAGAATCGTAGCAAGTTAAGAGGGTACTCATATTCGGACAGAACTAACTACGGTAGCAATAAGCTGAAGAGTCAGTCCTACGTGGAGAGTCTACAGTTATCCTTGGAATCACCTCGCATGCGTGGAAAAACTAGGATACCCGTAGCGAGGACAGCCATGAAAAATGCGGATGAAAAATATACGGAGGCAAGTGGATGAAAGGGAATCTATTATTTACCTTATGGTAAAATTGCATTTATCATGCGATGGTTTTTTTTCGAAAATTTGTTTTGGTACTTACGTATTTTTGTCTGAAAAACACGAATTCGATAATGAAAATGTGAACAAACCATTATTTATCGAGATATTTCAAGAAAAAGTTCAAAATTTCGCCTTCTTTCTCGATTTGTGTTGGATCGTTACCATCGAGACAATAAGGCCTGCATGCTCCGTGGTGACGTCACCTTAGTGAGGCCTAACCACCGGCTCGAAACAACAAGCGCTTATGGCGCTTTAAGGCGACCGCGTATTTCAATTTTAGTTTTAGATCATTATTGAGCCGATTTTGCTGTTTTTTGAAGGGTTTCCGGGTAAAAGAGGATGCCAGTCGTCAACTGAGCCTTGCTTCGCATCCCATTCGATTTTATTATGGAAAAACGAAGTTTTAAAGCAAAAACCAGAATATAACACAAGTACCCACCTACAGCAACCCATCCGAATTGAATATATTGGCAAAAATTGTAGTAATTCGATCTCATTAGAGGTAAAATTCGCACCTACTTATACAGGGCTCGCAGAACATAAACTTGAAGCTGCAAATTCTAAACTTGGGCAAAAAAAGTTTACACATGAGGCGATTTCGAAATTCAATAAATTACCAGATGATATCAAAAACAGCCCAAATATTATGCAATTCAAAAATAAAGTTAAGAAATATATTTATATGCAAAGGAATGATCAAAGCTGAAAGACCATGAATTTTCTTTTTTCTTTTTTTTTTTTTTTTTCACTGTTTTTATTTTTCCCCTTCTCGTTCACTATAATATGACTGTATCTTAATGATATGTAAGTTTTGTTCACTATTTGTAATTTCAATTATACAACAGTCGATAATACTTCATGAATGATCTTATACCAGGAATTACTGTCTGATCATTCATGTCATTCCTACTAGAAAATTAATTATACTTTATATATTATTTGTATGAAATGTATCAATGAAGAAAAGAATGTAATGCAATAACTGAAATGAATAAATAAATAAATAAATAAATATTTTATTTTGATAGACATGCCGTTTGTTATAATTACCTATTTTATCTTGGAGAATTCATATTACCTAAAAAATTAGCCAGAAAGTGTTTTCAATTTCCTGTTGTTGGATTTTTTACCCAATTGATCATTAGACTTGAAATTTTTTTTTGATACTTTATCGAGATATTTCAATAAAAAGTTCGAAATTTCGCCTTCTTTCTCCCCTTGTGTTGGGGGCATTTAAGGCTACTTGCGCTTCTTATTTTGTCATTGGACCCTTCATATACTCATGATGTACTTCGATGACACATTTTTATATAGAAAATTCAACAGGAAATATGATTTTTATGGCGAGTTCAACATATTTAGTGAACAAGCATATCAGATAATGATGGCCATTTAATCAATAGTCAACCAAATACGAGATGTCAAATGTCAATAGATTGCTTTGGAATGACATTACAAAACACACACGCCATTATTTTTAATGATATTCTTCCTTTTTTTCAACAAATATGGATAAATCTCAAGAAAATCATATTTCTAGTTGACTCATATAATGGAAAAAAATTGTGATATATATATAAATTGTCCAATGATGAAAAAAGAAGGGGAAATTGTTCTAACTGTCATCCAGAAGACAGGCGAAGAAAAAGGTGGAATTAATAACTGTATAGTCAAATATCTTAATAAATAATAGTTTGTTCACATTTTCATTATCAAATTCGTGTTTTTCTGACAAAAATACGTAAGTACCAACAAAATTTTTCAATAAAAAACCCATCGCATGATAAATGCAGTTTTACCCACGCTATTGCTGTTTTTATTTTCAGTAGTAATACTATGAGTAGGTATACTTCTGATAGCGTTTTTCACTCGTCGCACTAGCTCGAACTTTTTCGGCACTGAGTGCGTTTTGCGTGGTCCACTGAGAATTTCAGGAGCGAACTTTTAAATACTGTCTGTAGGTTAATAGAGAAATGATTTCCACTGGCTTTCAAACTTGCTCAAGCCCGCTCAGAGTTCGAGTTTTCAGAACTGTGCTTGTACGACGGAGCGCTACACATAACCTCAAATTTTGGAGTCACGAGTGGAAAAATGTTTGGAATTTAAATAATTGAAGACCTCGGTGCATGAACCGGGCAACTCCAATTTTTTAAATGTTGGAGAATGGAAAATAACCGAGGGGTAAACCGCTGACCCAAATTATGTACACTTCTTCCTTCAAATCGTAGGTATACTTCCTGTACTTCCTTGGTACTTCCCGTACTTCCTCGATACTTCCCGTCCTTCCTTTGTACTTCCCTTACTTCCTTAATACTTCCCGTACTTCCTAGTTACTTCCTATACTTCCTCATACTTTCCTAACATAAGATATCCATCAATAATATTCAACTATCGTTTTCAAGAAAATAATCAGGCTAATCAAACCGCGGCGCATAGAACATGAAGAAATTGAATTCATCAGAATGAACAAAAAAGTAATATTTTTTTATTTGACTTGATGGGAATCCATAGTAATAGTAGAGTCACAAAACACGAGTCGGAGTCGAAGCGCAAACTGATCTGTAACTTCTTCGAATATTCAGGGTAACTTCTTCGAATATACAGGGTGTCCCTGAAAAGTCTGTACAAATTTTAAAGTGAAAGTAAAGTACCTTTATTTCTACAATTCCTATCGAAAATCATTATCGAATAAAGTTGACTAGACCTAAAAACTTTCTGCTGCCTAACAACAACTAAGAGACTCACTAGAACCTCACATTCCTGTCTGATAATGTAACAAACCGAACCAATATTTTTTTATGTTGAATGGGGAGTCGCTCTAAACATTACTGCAAGTTTCATTCGGCATAGTAATGTGAATCATAAAATGACCAAAAGGGTCCGGAATAGCAATCACTGTGATATCAATGTGACTCTCAATTCGAGTCACCGGTGTGATGTGTGGCATGAATGTGATGCCCTCTAATATTTCTGGGATGAATCTGTGTTAACTGGGTTCTTATGTCAGGAAGTTCAAGGCAACAATTTTGAGCACCTTCAGCACTGAACTCAGCTTATTTCCTCTGATTATGATGTTTAAATTCGATGCATTCAGGCAATTATCAAATGTTCCGCCATTTTGTATAGTAGGTGAAGATAATTACTTTATAATCCAGGATTGTGAAGTTTTCGTCAGGAGCTTCTCAAGGATGTTTCACAAAAGCCCTCTCTCCATTGAATTTTTTTTCTCAGATGGCGCCCAAATTTCCATCTATCAATTTCATTCCAAAATATACCGGGTGACACAGGAGACATGTAGCAGCCTGTCGTTTTTTTATTTGAAAATTAAAATTTTGAAATTCACAGGGGGTATTTAATAAATGGTAGCGCATTTTACGAACTTAACGAAAATTTTTTTCAACCACCTGTTTGACCGGGAGTGACCCCAACTTTTTTTTTAAATGTTACTCTGTACAATGTACATTTCTTCAGTCTTTCTTTTTCGCCTTGAAATTCTCTATCCAAAAAGAATAAGTTGGCAGTGACATGAATTCGATGATATATCGACACTTGGTAGGCTTCGAAATTCAAAGATCATTAGTAAACCGATATTATTCAAAATGTTTTGATATTCTGATTAATGCCTGCAGGTTATCAATAGCTTGTTTGAGTCAAGATGAAAACCTTCGAAAATAACTCATGATATTGAGGAATCTAAGATAGAAACATATTTTTTCGAATTCAGCTACTCGTACAGAAACTATCTGTCTTTTATTTTTGCCATGTACCTATCACATGATCTTCCCATTTGGAATGATTAAACTAAAATTGTTCCTCTTATACGATGATCCACAGGGCTATCAGTCTATTTTTTCATATTTATTTCACTCAGTAGGCGGTGTACAAACACAAAATGTTTTATGTGTTTGACAGTTAATCGATTGCATCAATAATTTTTCTTCGTCATTTGTGTGTTGATTAAATGCATATTTTCAATAGAGACGGAAAATGTATTCAAGAAACGAAAAAGTCGATATGTTGTTAATATGCAATTTTAATCAACACACAAATAAAGAAGAAAAATTATTGATGCAATCGATTAACTGTCAAACACATAAAACATTTTGTGTTTGTACACCGCCTACTGAGTGAAATAATTATGAAAAAATAGACTGATAGCCCTGTGGATCATTGTATAAGAGGAACAATTTTAGTTTTATTATTCCAAATGGGAAGATCATGTGATAGGTACATGGCGAAAAAAAAAAGACAGATAGTTTCTGTACGAGTAGCTGAATTCGAAAAAATATGTTCCTATCTTAAATTCCTCAATATATGATATTGACTCAATATCATGAGTTATTTTCGAAGGTTTTCATCTTGACTCAAACAAGCTATTGACAACCTGCAGACATTGATCTGAATATCAAAAATTTTTGAATAATATCGGTTTACTAATGATCTTTAAATTTCAAAGCCTACCAAGTGTCGATATATCATCGAATCCATGTCACAGCCAACTTATTCTTTTTGAATAAAAAGCAATTCAACAGCGAATCAAGAAATAAATGCCACTTTGTGATACATGGGTGGATAGAGAATTTCAAGGCGAAAAAGATAGACTGAAGAAATGTATAGGGTGACATTTAAAAAAAAAAGTTGGGGTCACTTCCGGTCAAACAGGTGGTTGAAAAAAATTGTCGTTAAGTTTGTAAAGTGCGCTACCATTTATTATATAGGTACCCCCTGTGAATTTCAAAATGTTATCTCTTCAAATAAAATAACTACATGCTGCTACATGTCTCCTGTGTCACCCGGTATAGTCATGAATCGATCTCATTATCCCAAGTTTCAATTTCTTGAGATGAAACTTTCAGAAATGAAGAAAGAGGGGGGCATTGAAGGAAAGCACTGTATGAGGGCCACTTCAAATACCATCACAGTAACTGAACGTATAAACACTGCCGCCCACACTACCAGAGGTTCGTGTGAAATACCCTTTTCGTTCAGGTTGCTTTCGAGCCCTGATCTCGTCCATAAAGGAGGCAAAAAGTTGTCCTCCAACGAGTAATGGACGAAGGGGTTGGTCCAGCCCTCTGGTGTCTCCTGCACAGGGTTGAGCCTGTTCACTCTGAGATGTCGACCTGTTTCCCAGAGGTCCCGCTATCGACACCATATATCCTTGGTGCCATGTAACGTATCTCTTGTCGCGGGCACCAACAACTTTGGATTAGGTTGCCAGAGCCTCTTTCATCAATCCGCAGCCAAATAAGCAGATGTTTACAAATTGCCCCATCTTTGCTCATCGATTTTCACAAAACTTTACCATTCGTGTGATTCGAACAAAGATGCCTAAAAATTGCTTCATCTGCCGAGCAGCCACTGCTTGTCTTTCCCGCAACATGGTGAAGTTGGCGTTTATAGAAAACATGTTGTTTGTATTTCGAGCAGAAAGTGTTATTGCAGCTTTAGAAAGATGATCGCGCTCTTCTTCACATCGGTTCCTAACTCTCCTTATCATGGAAGATTTATCAATAGAAAAATTGGAGACAATTTCGTTGCGGAAGTTTTCAAAGGCATAACATCAAGGCTGGTTGAATTGCCAATGCGTAACAGAATGCAAGGAATCATTCTTCGACATCCAGGTGCCGGTTCCCATATAGGACTATGTTGAAGAACTGACCGACGTCCACGACATCTTCCGCAAAGCATGCATAACTACGGAGGAATTATGTGGCAACAACCAATATTTATGCGAGGTCTGTTCGAGTTTTAACGACGCTAGCAGAGAGGTATCATTCGAAAAACTCCCGATGATTATGATTCTACAATTAGGAAGGTTCTCAACGATGACGTCCGGCACCCAGAAAGTGAACACCTATAACTGCCTACCCCTCTAGATTTGCATTATTTTGTGTAAAATGCTGCAAGATGGACAAAAACGAGCTGTTGCCGAACCGTTACAAACTTTGTTGCGTCATCATGCACTTGGGCTGCACCATGGCCTCGGACCACTACATCGCTTACGTGAAAGCCAGCGATCCGTCCACCGACTACTTCAACTTTCCGTGTGAAAATAACCCTATAGAAATATTAAGGCAGTTCGTATATATGGGAGTAACATTTCCTTCTTCATCATTTCTTCATAACATGGCACATACTTCAGCTAATAAGAGTAAACAAGTTGTAGGTGTGGTTTTATCTATAATGGCTAAAGCTCTAGATTGAATTCCTGGAAATCTAGGGTGGAATTATTGAACTCGCTTGTTATGAGTGTAATGACTCATTGTGTCCCGATATGTGGCCTACGTTCCGCTGGAATTTTAGAGCGTGTCCAACTCAGTTTTTTTTTAAATACAATGCCTGTCCGCCACTACTCCAGGGTATGCCATAAGGCTTGAAGTGGGAAGAGTAAGAATTTCCTACAATATATTGAAGCAAGTTTTGAACTGGCTCATCAAATTACTTGAAATGAAAAAAGATCGTCTTCCCAGATTATGTTTTGAAAGTCTTCTCAACCTTAATAATACCACAGACATAATTGGACCCTGCAAGTCATACAACAGCTTGAATATGCAAACTCCCTCTGTCCGAAATCACAGGCAAAATACTCCGTCAAAATAAGAAGACATTACTTTCCAGATATATATGACGCACTTACAAAATGAAGACCGGTCACTGCTTGCTCGCTCGACATTTTTGTCCCTCAACCAGTATCTTTTTTTCTCATGAAACTCAAAGTTACTTACATATGAAGGTTTCACTGCAAGTTAACAGATCAATTTCCCAACTCAGGCTAAGCAGTGACTACATTATGAAATTTTCATATCGTGGCTCAACATACCTCATCAACCCAAAAGAAATATGTTCAGTGTGCAACAAAAATGAGTTCGAAACTATACAACTATAAAGCACATTATGTTCGACTGTCCTATTTACTCTGCTATGAGGCCCCAAGATACTCCATTTTTGGAAACGATTAACAACTTGGTCGGCACACTCAAAAATATCACGCCTTTTTCTGCTAAATCCATCTCTGCCCATTTATGTAATATCGTGAAACTCCGCTCATTTATTATGAATGAGTGAAGTACTGATGTTGATATTTTCCTCATTCCTTCGAAAAAATAATCATTATGAAAATAATTAAGTCTTGGTCTGATCTTCTTGTTATTGTCTCTGCAACTTGTTACTCTTGCTCTCTCGAATAATCCTGTCTTCCTCCTCCGAGGGCGAAGACATGTGGCTGGCGTGCAACGACGAAATCATCAGGCCCATCTCCATAAAGGAGTGCGTGAACTTGTTGGGCTTCAAGAAAAACTCCTCGTCGACGCCCTATCTGCTGTTCTACACGAAATTGTGATGTTTGTTTACTTCATGATAGTTTTATTTATTGTTAATAATATAGAGAATGTTAATTCTCATAAATATATGTAACTCTCCTTATCGCTCGGCAATCTATCACTTCGCTCCCTGAATATAAACTTACAATCATGCATTTATGGAAACCCTGTATTATCTATTGCACAAGTATTCCCATTGCTAACGTTTGTTAATTTAGTCCATTTCATTTGTTGCGCAGTGTACTAGGCCGCTTCATAATCTTTGCCACCCGTCATTGGCGAGCAACTTGGACGAAATCTCGCAGATGGAAATGAAAGCGAAAAGCTACTCTTTCATGTCTCCGACGATTTCCAGCGAGCGTAAAGACAAGAGCATCGAAATCAAGTGCTTGGGGAAGCTTATATCACCGACTCGAAGAGGCAGGTATGTTGAAATGAATTAGGTCAGCAAATTTAGAAGTCGACCTCTACCTAATTTGTGACAAGCTAATTTGAGTGATACTCTACTTACATAAATTCACTGAACTAGATCTTATAACTAAGGGATTAAGAATGAACAGAGTTGCCCTAATTGTCATCAGGAGCGAGATAGTGCTGTTTCGGCCCACCAGGCCTCATCAGCCGCTCTCTGTCAGCTGACAACTGCAACAACTCAACGCTTCGGGTATATTACCATCGTTATCTAGTTGCATCTAATAGCATGACTAGATCATCATGCATGCATGGGTGATATACCCGAAGCGTTGAGTTGTCCCAGTAGTTGCCAGCAGACCGACAACAGCTGATGAGGCCTGGTGTGCCGAAATGGTAATGTCTGGCTCCTGTTGACAATTGTGGCAACTCTATTCATCCTAGATCTCTTTTAGTTGTGAGATCTAGTTCAGTGAATAGGACTGGTGGGTTTCCACTTAAGTATTCAGGTGGTGCCATATGTCAGAAGAGTGGTTTACTCATAGTACCACTTTGCATGTGTAGGCGTAGAGGCCTGCACATGTTGACTAGAGATAAAGCAGCGTCCTACAGTGTATGACGTGGCCGCAAGGCCCTACCTTCGAACTAACGCCGCCAGATGGCGATAGCATGACTAGATCATCATGCGTATCCGGCGTATATGAATTTAGTTTTCGACCCTTTTATTTCAAGTAAATTTTGACGAGTATAGTTTTATCCAAACATATTGCGTTAGAGGCCGACCAGGTTAACTTTAGGGCAGCACGACGTGGTCACGTATATGCATTCGAGGGGGCCCTACTTTGAATCACGTGATGTTCAAAAATTGAGGTGATCGACTTCTACAGATACTACGTAATGTTCTCGATTAAACAGCAGGATGTTCTCAAAGGCGAGGCATTTTTTCAACAGAATGTAGAACTCGTCAATATAGACAAAATTAATCATCAAAACTTGACCATAATAGTGGATAAGAGAGCCGGCTGCAAATTTCGACCTTTATCTGATGACGAAATGATATACAGGGTATTCCTAAAAGAGACCTATTTTGACCTCTGGAATATGTTCTGAGATTCTGTACCCAAAGGAATTTGAACATTCTGTTTTATCGATAGGCACCTGTGCTAATCACTATCTTAAGCAAAATGATTGAGAAAGGGCACTATCCTGTGCGTTAATTTGCACTAAATTTCGCGATTTGATAACGAGAAAAGAATAATGCAATCCGATATCAATTGAATAGTAGATCTCCAAAACCTACCTGTGCCACTCCTCAATCTGAGTCAAATCCATGGCACAACGATTTATCTGCTGCAATTATTCCACATATACTTCCGTCATGTGACGAAGAGTTGAAACAGAAAGCAAACAAAAGCCGATAAGATAATGATGTCCTCTTTGTGAATATCAAAACATGCCGCTATTCAAACTGATCCAAGTTAGTGGCAGAGCGTCAATATTCCCAAGAATATTTCACTCCTGTCGAAAGATAATATCTGATGAACCAGTGTGAAACTGTGCTGCCCGCACTACAAGTATCCAAATTCACACGTTTGGATATTCGCGAAGAGGGCATTATTCCCTTTTATTTGCTTCTTGTTTCAACTCACATGACGGAAGTATGTCCGGATTAACGGCAGCAATTGAATTGCTGTGCCATGGATTTTTTGATTTTTTGTTTTTATTACCCCAAGAAACATATCAGTCTATAATAGGAATACATGAACACATATAAAAATAATAATCATACTTTAAGGTCAATTAATCAAATCATGCCAAATATTTTTCAATCAAATTGTCCTGACCATGTATTGTTTAAGATTCACTTTAAATCTGCTTTTATCATGTATATTTTTCAATCCATTCGGTAATGAATTATATAAAATTATTCCATTATGAAATATAGATTGTGTGCCAATGTTCGACTTGAATGTATTTGCTATCAAGTAATTCAATTCTAGTCCCTAAGTATGGACTGTATTGACTTCATCGAAAGCTAAGTTTGATATTTTAAATTTATTCCTGACAAAATGAATGAAACAGTTCATTTTGAGTTTATATGACGAGATCAGATTTAAAAATTTTCTAGTTTTGTATAAATTTACTATTGTTACTAGAAAATTTTGATAAAAAATGCACTTAATTGATTCGTTTTGTAATTGATTAGTGTTTTGAGGCGTGAAATATTCGTGCTACCCCAAATAGAAATTATAAATATTGTGAATTTGAATATATGGGGCAAAAGTATATACACATCAGGTATTTTACAGAAATGAAATTTCGGATTTTGAATGAAACGCCGATGATTGGATTCATTTTATTTCTCAAATGGTCTATGTGTTTAGTCCACAATAATTTCTTTACCTCTGTATATTTGATGAATATATTGCTGGAAGATATTGCATTAATCTTTTCGTTGTATGTTGTTGTTTTGTTAAAATTAAGAGTCAACTTAAATCGATACATAAATCAATGTTGTATCATCTGCATGCAATTTGAGCTCTCCCTTCAACTTCAGAGTTGATATTGAATTTATATAAATTAAAAATAAAATTAGTCCCAAAACTGATCCTTGCGGTACTCTATATGTAATATTCATAAGTGAGCACAAGTATCATTCACTTTAACATACATCATGAATTCTTCCTCTAACACCTATCGAATAGAACTTATTGAGTAAAATGGTATGATCTACAGTGTCAAATGCCTTACATAGATCTAAGGATAAGAAGCCGCATTTATAATTTTCATCTATCCGTTACTCTGGTTAAGGAGTGGCTCAGGAAGGTTTTTGAGATCTACCATTCAATTTATATCGGCTGGCATGATTCATATATATCTTGTTATCGAATCACGAAATTTGGCTCAATTTTTACCACGAAGGACAGAGGTACACCAGAGGAAAATTCATCACCTTTAAGAAGGTAAATGTTGATTTTCTCAAAACTAAGAATTCTTAATTATCTCGCTATTATTGTTCTCAGCGTGCGAAATATTATTATCACTGTAGCCAACGCAACTCATTCTATGAATATATTTGTGCCTTATGAGCATTGAGGGCATGATGGGGCGAATTTCACCCAAATGAAGTCAGACTCTTACCCCCTACTTTAGGTCCACCAGCCCAGAACACGATTTCAAAGCCGGCGATGCTGGTAAAGTGCCATACATCGACAAAAGTGACATCACATTCGACAAAACCAGGAAGGAGTCCAAGCTCAGCGTGAAATCGTCTTGTAATGTATTGTGATCGAAGTGATTGCACAACGAATTCCCATGAGACGTAACATCTTGCTCTTTTCCAGGAAACAGCTTCTAATACCTCAACTGGGTCCACGGAAAATGCACTTTTCCAGGCGATCGGAAAACTCAGAGACGAAAACTGGTGAGTAGAGGAATTCGTCCGATTATGTTAGAGGTATTGAACTCGGATTTTTATACCGTGCGAAAAGCTACTTTTACCCCTCAACAGCTTCTCATGATCTACAAAGCACATACGGCCTTTGTTAGAATACTGTTACCGCATCCCAGAAAACAAGTTGTATCACTTGGCAGTTTCGCGAAGTCCCAGATTGCGAATTGAAATATGTTTTTATTATGATTAGGCATATTTGTCCTGAACATTGTTACTTCGAGACTTTGCTATGTAAAAAGAAAAAAATGTAGTAAATTTCTAGTTGAAAAAATAGTCATCGAGAAACATCGCGACGAAGTCTATTCGAGAAAATCACTATATCAACAGAGATGATCGCATGAATAGGTCCAATGAGTTTATTAAAGAGACATTTATTATCTCAAAAACTTCCACAGCGACAATACGGATGTATGTTTTATTTGTGCTATTTTTCCAAATCTCAATGTTTTTTTACATCGCACGCGGATTTTAGTTGCAAAATTACTTCCATGGTACTTTACAGTTACTGCCCTAGTTTGTTGGGATATGGAGTTTAGCACCTTAACAGATATATAGGTACTCTGATGCCATTAGATTCCATCCAGAGACGAGCCATTCGCCTCTGGAAGGTGAAACCATTCACTAATTCTTTGACATCATTTTGGAACACCGTTGAAAAGTCGGAGACCTTTCACTTTTCTATTGATACTTCCACACAAAATGTTCTCAAGAATTCTCTGCTATCATTCCATCACTAGTAATACCAGTCAAACGTACTCGACAAGCCCAGCCAGCACATTCTTTCGTCTTCAATTTGTAGAACGGCAGAGCTTCGGAATCCTTTTCGCCAAGGGAGGCGTTGCCGGTAACTTGTGATCTCTGAAACTTTCAAAAAATCCAACACCTACCTTATCTCCTTATCCTCCCTACGCAAGAGGGTATTCCCATTCGTGCGCTCCAAGAGATTTAAAAAAGCTAGAGATTCATTTTTGTGAAACATCGATTGGTATAAACTGCACTTCGATATCGCCGTTTCCGAGATATAAGCAAAAATTGACATTAGACCGATTTCGAAAAAAATTCGTGACTTCTTCATTTCGGATGTTTTTCCAAACGGTAAAAACTTTCTATAAATACTTTTCGGCTGTTCTGGTATTGAGGAAATCTTCTAGAATCGAGCAATTTGGGACCCCCTGCAAATCAGACCACCAACTATCTCCACAACCTGCTCATTTTCATAGTGTATAGTAAAAATGTTACGACCGATTCAATAAGAATGGAACTCTGTATGTAGCGCCCTTTATCAGTAATCACAAAACTAAGATCATATTTGAATTCAGCATGATGAAAAACCCCTGTACACCACATTTTATCCATTTCTTGCGTCTCTGGCTAGAGATATTAAAAAAAAAAACGAAAAAAAAATAAAAATTCAACGCCCCGTATCTTCCAACCGAACGCCTTGCGAACCTGTGTTCATGAGAACTTTTTTCTTATTCTAGTGTCCTCTATATTGTGTGGCACTATGCAATGTACTTTTTTCTATGTCACCCTGTATATACATATGGTATAGATTCTGGAGATGATTGAAATAGATTTGTTCCAGGAATACTGCGTTGCGAGGCCTAGCCGAGGTCGTAGAAATATGCAGACTGGTAGATTCTGAATTGGTTTTTCCTCACATGACGATCATAAATCAGAGACTGGTCGAGCTGATCAAGAGTCCCAGGTCACATGTTTGCAGGACCTCCTGTCAGGCCGTTGGACACCTTTTCGAATTCATCAAAGATACAAGAAGACCGGTGAGTCGATAGTATGAAAGGGCAAATAGCGGGATAATTAATGTCTCTTTCTCAGCAAACTTCAAATTCTCTTTCATTCGCAATTTCGGCAACATGGTAAAAAATATGCTCCCAGGACAAGGCTAGTATAGATGTAAATACTTCACTAACGGTAAGATTTACACAAAATTCTCATTCACACGACATGTTTCGCTAACATCACAGCAGCTTCATCAGGTGAAATACTGGTAAAATGAACTCAACTAACCCTGGCTTGCCTAAATTTTATATATCCTCCTTTCCCAATCTGAAGGATCAGAATAACCTGTGGACAGGTTCGATAAACCTTCATTTTCGGAAAATAGGCACAATATCTACATTAAAATACGGTTTATCGTTTCTGTCCACAGGAAATTCTAATCTATCAGATTGGGAGAGTAGGATATGTTGGCTGAACCCACGCTTCAGTTAGGTAGATTTTCACCAACTAGGTACGAAAATTATATCCAAGCATGACCTTGTTAGTTTAGACACCTCGCAAGGTCAAGAATACCTATAATTAATTTTGTAGGATTATGGTTATAGGGTCGGGTAATTTTCCATATTTCTGGAAAAACGCTAGCTAGCAGTTACGTCCAAAGTGATGGAGAAAGCCGTCAACGTTGAGCATATCAAATATTTGGAAAGCTAAGGAATCTTCAATGATAGACAATATGGCTTTCGCCATTGAATATCAACCGGAGATTAACTTGCCAACGTCTTCCGTATATGGCAAGCTTCATTAGAGCTGTGTCAGCTGTGGCGTTAGATATTATATCGGAAGTGTTTGGCACCATGCAAGGACTCCTCCACAAACTACCACCATACGGCTTACCACCTCAGCTATACCATCTTTTGTCCAGTTTTCTGTGGTGGTGGTGGTCGGCCATCAATTCCGGCGTTCCACAAGCATCAATTTCGGCACCAGCATTGTTCCCACTTCATATTAATGATCTGTTGGAAGTAACCACTTGCCCCATCCAGGGTTGATAGTACTCATCATACTGCGTTCTCTTCCAGAATCCCCATTTCTTTCCAGTAAATGAAAATCATGCTAAAAATACAGCCTGGGGAACCAACCTGGTTGATTTCAACGCCACCAAAACTCAAGCTTGTATTTTCTCTAGAAAGGCGGATGCCTGATATATCCAAGTCTACTATATCTATGCTCGTTATATCTATCAGCAATACTCTTCCAAGAGACGAACACATTCCGTACAAAAATCTACTACTACAACTCAACAGGTTCTCATTATCTACAAAGCACAGATCCGCCCAGTTTCAGAATACTCTTCCCACAAATGGGGTTCAGAACCCAAACATACGGTGATGCTCTTAGATTCCATCCAGAAAAAACCATTTGCCTAGTGGGGGATGCCACACTCACTAGTTCTTTAACATCATTGGAACCCCGTAGAAAAATCGGCGACCTTTCACTTTTCTATAGATGCCTACTTCCACGGGAAATCTTCTTTAGAAACCTCTGCTCTCATTCCATCACTAGATAAGACAATTTGACAAGCCGAGTCAGCACATATCCTCTCGTTGTCCATTTTGATATATGTCGAAAAACACTTTTCTAAAATTCATTTGTCTATAGAACGGCAAAGCTTTGGAATTCTTTTCCGATGGAAGTATTCCCAAGAACTTTTAAACTTCAAAAGCTCAAAAATAATTCCAATATTACCTCCTCATCCTATCCTCATTATACAGGGTGTCCCATAAGTCATGGATCAAAAGAAGTGGGGGTGGTAGAGAGGGTCATTTCCAATCAAACTAACCATATAATATGTGGTTATTCAATTGTTGATGGTTCAAAATTTATTAATGTTTTTTCATTTCTATGAAAAGAATCAATTTAAGAATTACAATAAAACTATGTCACATTTGTGATGTTGTCTTTCAGAAATTTCATCCACATGGATGCGCCTTCCCCCAGAAATAATTTAATGACATGTATTACTTCTTATTACTTACTTATTACTTTTTATCTTATAAGTGTTTGGGATCACACGTTGAAAGGTAAGAACCCCGTCATTCCTTGCTCGCAAAAATCTCTTCAAGACTTTTGAGGGTTGCTCGTAAGGGGGCAACCGAATGATAGATAAGAACAATTTCAGAACAACAACAATTCTATCAATTACCTGTGAAAAATATTGTTTTCCTTGTGTTTTGTCATCAAATGAGATATTTAAGTCGATTTCTAAATGCTGCTGGCAGATTTAAAAACTACCCCACGAAGATAACCAATCACAAAAAAAGTAGTCCATTTGATACTGATTCCGAAATGGTATAACATATGGGGTTGTTTAAAACAGCCTTTTTGTTATTATTTTTTTCAAATGGGTCGCATTTTTCAAAATAATTGAATATCTTCTGAACCATCAATAATTTGATGAAAACATATACCGTTAGTTTGATTACAAATGACCCCCCCCCCCTACTACCCCACTTATTTTGATCCATTACACATGGGACACCCTTCATAGGGATAATAGGATTTTCCTTTCGTGCGCTCCATAAGAAAAAAAAAAGAATTCGGGGGTACTAGATGTCGGCTAAGTCCATCGAGATTGTTTTTCTCGCAATAAGAGATTGATAGATAATTACCAATTTTTGTTTCCAGGAGTTCGACGAACTGGTAGACACGCTGCTTTGTAAGTGCGCCGACTCCAACAAATTCATCCGGCACGACGCCAACTTAGCGCTCGACTGCATGGTGACGCACGTGCCGACCTTTCACTCGGTATAAAATACAATAGATTGCCTGAACAATTATCCATATATCAACCTGAGACGTGTGATATTTTCTCGATTTCGAATGTAATTTACAGGTGCTGAAACAACAATTTTCATATTCTTTCGGATGGTCTAGGAGACATTTTCGAATTTCCATTTTTACCCATCACAAATGAGTAGTTGATAGTAGTTAGAGAGAGGGGAGGTGGTTGCCTAGCAAGTAGGCCCCCATAGACCCTTTTTACTTACCCCTGCCGCACACATATCTACTCTTCCTTCTCCTAGTTCTCCTTCTCGAACCTCCCTGACCTTCTGATGGAAGTCAGTATGTCCGTCCACCTTAGGTTAATTAAATCTTCCTAATGAAGCGAATCTTCTACATCTTCTTCACACTTACGGCAACTGGGGTCATCTTCTACACCTATTAGCGATAGGTGCCCTCTATGGCCGTGCACCCACAAAAGTTCAACATCCTTTGATTCGGCTAGTTCGTCAAGTGTATCTCCACAAACCTGTATCAGTGCCCAACTCAAGGGGGTGGCAGATTGCCTTGAGTGCTGCACTATGTCCGAGCAGATGTGGATTTTTCGTTCCGGTCCCTCTTCCACCTCCTGCCTCGTTCCTATGGCCAGTAAAATTTTGCTTGAAAAACTGTGGAACATTTTTTTCTTCTGATACCACCTCCTTCTATGAAGATTCCTGTGCCAGAGGCTTGTTAGTCGTTCAGGCGAGAACCGTCATGGTCTGTGTAATATACTAAGCTCCCTAGCAAAAACTTCACAGCATTCCCTTCCCACTGTTATATGCTCGGAATTGTGAGTGAGAATAAACCCTCATTCCATCGTAGCCTGTCTTATGCGTGTGTTACTCTGTTCCACCCTCGTAGCAATTGCCGCATGTCCAATCAGTGCCCCTACCTTCACCCAGCATCCTCAGGTGAACTGCCATTGCTTCCTTCTTAATCCAGATCAGTAGGGGGCAACCCTTATAGTACCTCTAATGCTGCGCTTAGCGTCGTCCTCATCGCTCCAGTTATTGCTAAACAGGCCATCGTCCGTCGCAAATAAAGTGAACCGCGATTTCAATTCTTTATCGATAATCCTCTTCATTCAAGATATCTCGGGTCTATGTCACTTTTGCTCTCATTCAATTTCCTCCAAACAACTTCCTCTTGAGTGTTTGTACGATGCCTCCATACAATTTATTGCTCAAATCATTTCCTCTCGAACTTCACTAGAGAGACAAAATGATCTCATTCAATATGCACTCGATCAACAATGCAACATGCTCTCATTCACTTTTTTCCATTCTTTAGGCCGCACTGAAGATGGATACCTATTATGTTCTTCGAAGAAAGGGTAGCAATTCCTTCCTCTCTTCCTTCCTTCCACCTTTCCTCTGTTCCTCCTTTTATGCTCTCCTTTCCTTCTTTCCTTTTTTCTTCTTGCCTTCATTACTTTCCCTTTTCATGCCTCTTCTCCACCCCCTTCTTTTTTCGTTCCTCCTTTTTCTCTTCTTCCTTCCGTCCTTTCCTCCTTCCCTCTTTCCTTGCTACCCTAATTCCTAACTCTTCCTCTTCCTCTTCTCCATCGCTCCATCTCCTATGAATCAAACTCAACATGAAATTATCTAACAGTGAACATTGAAATTTCATTCAGGTAGACTGTTTCGTAGATTGAAGATCCATGCTTATTTCGAATTATAACCAGAAATTGAGAAAAAATATCGCATGCCCGTTTTACACCTCCATAGAATTCACGAATCAATGAAGTATATTGGTGACCTTACATGAAGTCTTATATTCGTGAGATGTTTTTTGACAATATAGGTTGTTCCATAATCAGCATGCAATACTTCGACAGTAGATTTCACGATGAGAAACAGTTCAAATAAAAACGGGTCGAAAAAGGTTTCTCTTGTCAAGGGGATTCCCCTGAAGATAATTGAAAGTGAATTCAAACGGCCCCCTCTCTATATATCTCAGCTATCAGTCGTGCGATCTTTACCAAATTTGTATCGGTATGAATAATCATCAATATGACCAGTTCATCAAAGACAATAAATATCATTTTAGACAGTGCCGTGCATTTTCATCGAAATAAATAGGGTTCAGTTTTTATTACATCATATTAGGCATTTTTTCACAGGAAAACTGACCCTTTAATATTGTTCTACATGGTTTCAAACCCAGATATGTGAATTTTCATAAGATGCCTATGAAGGGTTTCAGAAAAACAGGGACATCTAAACAGCATTTTTGCGAAAGTAATAATCGTTTACTCGTAAACGGTGAGTTCAACATTAAAAAATATAACTCGTTTTTCCTTCCAAATCTGAATTTCCCCCTACCGGAGCCATTGAACGTTCCAAAATTCACAGTTGATTTGAAGTCACTATTTATTCGAGATCGAAAATGAAAAAAATGGAGCCAATCCTGTTAATTCGGAATTAGGTGATTTTTTGCATATAGAGGTTCGAAAGCATAAGGAACAATAATATGAGGTTAGATTTCATGTAAAAAAATGCCTAATATGATTTTATGAAAAATCGACCCCTTTTTAGTTCAATAAAAACACACGGCACTGTCCAAAATAATGTGCATCTCTGTAAAACTGATCATATTGATGGTTATCCATACCACACCAAATTTGGTTGGAATGGCATGACTAATAACTGAGATATAGAGAGGGGACCGTTTATAGTGAGACACGCTGTATAGACTATCACTGATAAGAAGTTTAAGAAGAAGGATAATTCGGAAGAGTTTATATTTGAAAAAAAAATCTCACGGATAATTTGCGTTGACTCCTGAATTTTCAGGAGAACAATTTTAGAACTATTTTCGCCTATCAAGGGATCAATTTAAAGAAGTTCATGAATTAATGGCAACTGACTTAGAAGACGAGGGTTTTGGTGGTCATGAAAGAATTTGCTCTGAGGAGAATCTTGCTGTTTTCCACTGTCTTCCACTTGTCTTCACTGCCACTCGAAAACTGTGTCTCGACCACAAGTGTCTCATCAGTCGACATGAGCGTACACGCTAATGTACGTTCCTGTAACCCGTAAGAGCAAATGCGGTGTTGTATCAAGTACAATAGGTGTGAAATTATAACACTCCCACGAGGCTCGTGCCGACTAGAGTTCCTAAATGTACTTGACACTGCTGTTTTGACGTTTTTTGTATATCAGAGTACGGACACTAGAAGGTTTATTAATCTGTGACTAGACAAGCAGTGTCAATCAAACATAACCAAATACGATTTTGAAGCAAATCATATGTTTTGCCAGACAAGGACACGAATATGTTTTTCGCTTATATAAAGGATCCTCGCATGTTCCAACTTCCACAAGTCCTGGGAAGAGTACATCCATATATATTTCTCTGTCTTTGATTTTTGTATGAGAGTGCATATAGCGTCTCCAATGGAGGTCGACATCAAGTTGGTATGTACTTATATACAAACGAAATACATATACCTACTATTCCTATGAAATGAGTCTCTTATATGTATAGGTATATATATTTTATCACAAAAGTTTAGAATGGGGTAAAAACTGACAAATTTCAACCAATGAAACATACTTTTATTTCGTATAGACCAATTTCACTTGTACAAGAGTGGTAGGTGATAAGTAATAAATAAATGAACAATAACAGCTGATTTCAGTTAGTATAAATAATGAAGGTTTTCCAAGACATACGGAAGAAGGTATGAATGGACTTCAGCGCCTCGACTCACTATAGACCGCCGTTTACATTGCTATTTTTCTCCTATTTTCGAATCGAATCTGCAAGTTTTTTCATTTCTTGCTGGAATAAGGTTCTTTTCGATACTCGCTCAGAGTTCGGCTCTTTCTCTCAATACCATCCTTTTCTTCAACATCAAATCTTCCCTTCTCAACTGTACCTGATGAAAATGCTTTGAAAAGTGTTCTATTTCCAACCAAGAAATTTGAATACCTCGCAAATTTTGTGGCCTGAACCTATATTCCATGCCGGCCGCATCATATTCTGTTTCCATTTTTGTAGAATTACGTTATCCGATGGATATTCGTATAGAGTGAATTGATTTCCCGTGTTCTCATAGTTGGATACTGCACAAACTTGCACCTTTCTCCTGATTCTCTCAATTTGTCAAACCTTTGAAATTTATGTCATGTACGTCCGTGTACTGTCTGTTCCCGCGTTTTCCATCAATTTATTTGTGGTTATGTCTGATTGTCAGTGCTAGTCATAGTGTCCGTACTCTAATACACAAAAAACGTCAAAACAGCAGTGTAAGTACATTTAGGAACTCTAGTGCCGACTAAGGCGAGTGCGACCATGTGCAGCGGGCGTAACTTGGACTAGGGGAAGTGTGGATATGATATGATGGCATTCCTGATATGATGGCACCCTTGCATTATTAACGGCGTTTATTCGAATAAGGATAGTTGGACAGTGTGCCCGCGATTCAAATAATGTATCATAGCGCTACTGTAACAATTGCGTATGGTTGGGGCCCGTTTAGCCGCCGCACGAGGTTGTGATTATTTGTGAGTAAAAACTTTTCTTTTCACTAATTTATTGCACCAATTTATAGTTGCATCCATATATATTGTTCATTTCTCATAGTCACATGAGTAGTGACATGTGATAAGTATACTAATAAGCTTTTCAACTACCATTTAATCCCATTGATAATTTTAGGTGAAAAAAATATTTTACGATATCCACAGTATTGCTCTTTTGATATGATGGCACCCCAGATGTTTATTATGATGGCATAGGGTGCAGCTAAGAGGAAACTTGAAGCAACTGATGAATCAGATGAGGAATGTACCCAAATAAACCATGAGCACGATGACGATGCTGAAGATGTTGCATGCTTGTACTGTAACGAGCTCTACTCTTGGTCGAAATCCAAAGAGCTGTGGCCCAAATGTCAGCTATGTATAGTTTGTGGGCCCATGCTGCTTGTGCAGATAAAAGTGAAAAAAACAAACATTTAATTTGCCAAATTTGCGAAGATGACTGATTTCATACCGACTTAGAACATCGATAAACCCTGTGTCGCGGGCCAACAGTCTATAACTGTTAATTCAATATTCCTCTCAATCCTGATCGTGAAATCTACTGGCAAAGTATTGCACTCTCACATTCAACCATTCTCTCATCAAAGGTGCGGGCGGTGACGTCCAAGGCACCCGATCACAAGAACCCTTTGGTGCGCACGGCGGCCGCCCGGCTGCTCGTCTGCGCTTTGGTCCTGCACGGGCCGCCCAACGTGCTGCACCCGCAGAGCAACGAGTACACCAGGCGCAGGGTGGTCCACAACATGGTCAAGTTCATGGAGGACAGATACGGGGACGTCAGGTAGGAAAATCAATGGGCCTGTTTCAGTGAGAAATGTTATTTCATTATTTCGAAGTACTTATCCGAACTAGTCCACTGTCGTGAACTGTTTTTCTTTAATAACTCGGCCATTTTTGATTCTACAGAAAAAGTTTGGGGACAAAATTGTAGTAAATTTGGTTCTCTACAAGTTTGGTCCTTACAATTTTTCTGATAGGATCGATATTTTGTAAATTAAACCTGAAAAAAGCGACATATTCGAAATATTTTCATTATCTCGTTTATTTTCAACTTTACGGCATAAATGAAGAAGACTACACTTGTGGAGAATCAAATTCTAAACAATTTTGGTTAGCACGTTTTTGTTCCAAAAAACGATATTTTGGGAATTAAACCTGAAAAAAGCGACAAATTCAAAAGATTATCATTATCTCCAATGCTTCGCATTTTACGGCATAAATGAAGAGGCTATTCCGCGCAGGTAGCTTGTCTGTCATGTCGGTGTGAAAATATAGTTCCGGAACTATTTTTTTTTTGGGTTTCTTAGCTAATGGTCCTGCCAAATCCATATCCTCTCTTTCTTCTTCGGTCAATTGGTAATGTCCAGTTTCACGTTCGTTAAGGTTCAGTGTTAATGGTGCGGGATCGTCGATGTCGTTGTCATCATCACTGTCTTCGTCATCGACGGCTCGCAATTGTGTAACGTTATCGCAAGTCTGCCCAGCGCAGTTGTGGCATAAGACAGAACATTTCAGTCCTGCCTTACGACACCCACACTATTCCGTTCGTACCCAAAAGAAGAACTACCCGTTCTTCCCGGTTTACGATGGTTCGAAAAACGAGATAAAAAATCACTCGATAGGTAGGTATACGAATTTATTACGATGTACCTACAACACAAATACACGAAAACAACGAACTAGGTATAGGTATAATACTGGATTGTAGAAGTCTTTCTCAGTCCAAAAATACAAAATTATGATCGTAATGGCGAACACACTACATTTTTTACGAACAAAAAACCGAAGAATCTCGCAATTCGCGTGGGCGATTCACCTCGGCTCATCAACAACAACTGTCGATTTTATGGCGCGCACGCGCATCGCCCGAAAATGATCGCGGCGTTGCCAGAGTAACAATATATCCTCATGTCTCCGACATTCTCCCACCTGAAAAATGTCTAGAAACTGGAACACATTTTTCACAAAAACCGGAGGAGACATGTCAAGAACACGTAAACTAACTAAAATGTACATACCAGTGTCCTTCGTTTTTATTATTTTCTCACTCACAAAAACGACGAGGCACTCGAGAAGTACGACCACTACGAGTCGTTTTTGACGTGGACACCTCAATGCTTGTCGTGCTGCCAACACTATCTCCAGGATCCTCGGTCGCCCCTGCTTCGGATGAAACATGAAAACCAAATACCGTTCCATCATTCATCGGTGGCGTCTCCTCTTCCTGAGGTAGTGCATCCGGCATCTTCTCCTCCTGGGGTAGAACATCTGAAGCGATATCTGCAACACCATCACACTCCAGCGGGTACAGTCTCTGCAAAGGTCTCAACAATGTTCCACGAGAAGTTTCTACACGAACAAGTCGAATTTGTCCATCTTGGCTGGGCAGAACTTCCACCACTCTCGCTATCGGCCAATCTATACGTTTACTGGAATCGTTTCCAACTAGAACAACCTCACCAACCGCAATTTTATGAGTTGTTCGTTTTTCACAGGAAAGTTTCAACTGACCGAGATATTCCGCCCGAAATCGAGATTGAAGGTCCTCGCGCATTGCTTGTATCTTTCGTATTTTCTTACAAAAAGAGCCACGATCTATTGCGTCACAATCGGGAAGTCCACACTCTACTTGCTCGCGTAAAAACATCGACGGAGTTAACGCCACTAAGTCTTTAGAGTCCTCCGATAAGTACGTAATGGGCCTTGCGTTGACCACTGCCTCGCAATCGCACAGAACAGTTAATAAGTCTTCATACTCCAAACGCGCGCGACCCAACATTTTTCTGAGTAAACGTTTCAGCACTCCAATTAATCGTTCCCAAAAACCACCCCACCAAGCCGCCGTAGGTGGATTGAATTTCCAGGTAATACGTCTCACAGAACATTCGCGCATAATGTCATCCCAGTTTAATTGTGACATAGCATTTTCGGCACCTAAAAAATTCGTACCGTTGTCACTATAAATTGTTTTGGGTCTTCCACGTCTCGACACGAACCGGCGTAACGCTTGAAGAAAGCTTAAGGTTGACATGGAAGTAACCAGTTCCAAATGAATCGCACGATAGACCGCGCATGTGAAGAGGCAGATCCAGGCTTTATCCCCATTTTTCAGGAACAGAGGCCCGGCGAAGTCCACCCCAGTCACCTCAAACGCGATTGCATCACGAACTCTATCCGATGGCAGGGGTGGTGATTCTACAACTAGTGGTTTCACCTCGAACTTACGACAAATGACACACCTTGAAATTACGGATCGCACCGTCCGTCTACCCCCGAGAATCCAATATCTTTCCCGGAGTATACTCAGAAGTCCTTGGGTTCCCACGTGACACGCTTCAATATGCTTGTGCATTATCAAGCTTCTGATCACAGGGTCCTTGGCGGGTAACACAATGGGGAACCGATAATTTTCTGTGTCTTCTCTTCGAGAGACTCTTGACTTCAAGCGAATCAAACCATTTTGATCATAAAAAGGATTGAGACAGCTTATGTTTTTGTCATTTTCACCAGAGAATGTCTTCTGTTGTACCAACTTGAAAACGAATTTCTCTGCATTTTCTATTTCCTGTACGGTTAATTCCCCCTTGTGCCTGTCTTTTACGAATTTACAGTTATGAAAATATCTGAATATCCAAGCAATCATTCGTATGGTCTTATTGTACTGGAAAAAATGATCTAGATGCCAGTCGACCAAGCTTGCAGTATTCAGGAGGGTGGTTACTAATTGTTTTTTCTTCTCTAATCCAATTTCTTCTTCATTGCAAGTAATTGGTGTTCTAGGCCATTCTTGGGGTGGACCATACAGCCATTTTGGCCCCTCCCACCACTTTGAATCAAATAATTGCTTGGGTGAACACCCTCGGGATGGAAGATCCGCCGGATTATGTATTCCTGGTAAGTGGCGCCATCTTTCCGCTTCAGTCAAACTCCGTATCTCTGTAACCCGGTTCCAGACAAAAACTCCCCACTCTTCTTTCCTTTGAATCCAGGATACTACCGTAGAGGAGTCGCTCCAGAAAAAACTGTCAATTTGCTTGCTTACATTTTCTACGACTTGTGTATACAGCCTGGCTCCTATAGTAGCTGCCAAGAGCTCTAAACGGGGAATTGTCATTTTGATATTTGACCTTTTCAAAGGTGCTACACGGGCTTTCGCGGCAACTAAAAATACGGCAACTTTTCCATCTATTACCGCTCTCAAAAATATGGCGCATGCATACGCGTCATTGCAAGCATCACAAAAGGTATGCAACGTAAGGTCTTGTGTATTAGAACTCGTAATCCACACCCACCGAGGTATCTCAATTTTTATCAAATAATGTAAATCTCTAACCCACGTCTTGAATGCCTGAGCGATGTCGTCATCTACGGGCTGGTCCCAAGTGAGTCGTTCTTTCCACAGTCCTTGCAGCAAGAGCTTGGGTATCAGCACAGAGGGGCAAGTATAGCCGATAGGGTCAAAAAGCTTTTGGGTGATGGACAAAATCACACGTTTTGAGACTACTGATGGGTCAAGGTCAGCTGAAAGAAATTCTGGATTCAATGATAAAACATCTTTTCGTGCATCCCAGACTAGACCTAGAAGAGGGCATGCCTCCGAAATATCAGAGCCAGTGTGCTCCCACCCTCTCAGTTCAAAATGACCTTCAGCCATAACTGCAGTTGCTTTTTTGATGAAGTTGAATAGACCTTGTTCATCGTGAAGACTAGCAACACAGTTGTCGACATAAAAACTCCTGCTCAGCCTTTCGATGGTTTCTCGGGAATGTATATCGGTAGTGGGAACCTTTCCGAGGCACAAAGACAAATGATACTCTAAAGTCGCTCCTAGTAAGAAAGGGCTGCTGCTGACACCAAAAACCACACGTTTATGCCGGAGAACAATTTCTTGACCTTGAGAATCGACCCATAGAAATCTGAGAAAATCCCTCTCGTTTTCCCGGAGACCTATCTGTAGAAAGGCTTTACGGATATCTGCCGTTACCCCTAATTTATTTTCCCTAAATCGCAGTAGCATTGAAGGTATCAATTCAATCAGATTAGGCCCTTTTTCCAGACAATGGTTTAGTGCAGGCCTACCTGTCTCGTGTGCTGATGCGTCGAATACCGGCCTAATCTTGGTGGTGGTACTCTTTTCTTTGATCACAGGTCGATGTGGTAGGTAATGACCTTTGTTATAATCGATATCACTCGAGGATCCTACTACTTCAATGATCCCCTCCCTCTTCCACTCTTGGAAAATTTGATCATATTGCTCAAGTACTCCTTCTTTCTTCAACTTGCTAAGAGTGTTATCCAACCTTTTCTGAGCCATCCTATAATTTGTTGGGAGTGGGGGATGTCCATCTAACCAAGGAAGTTGAACCTCATATCTCCCATCTTTGTCCAAGGCTATCGTCTGTAGAAATAATTCCTTAGCTGCTGTAGCATTTTCCTCTCTACTATGTTTGTCCGAATAAGGGTCCTTGATACCAATGACCTCGAGTTCCCATAAATCACTGATTGTCACATCTTTAATAAACAAATTCAAGGTCGTCATTACCACCTCGGAACGTTCCTTAGTTGTTGGCATCTTTCCCATAAGCGTCCAACCGAAATGTGTTTCAATGGCGAATAATCCACATTTTAATTCCCGACGCCCCCCTGTATACAGACTCCCGGCAACATCGGCACCCAGTAACAATTCGATCGGGCCAGGTTTCTCAGCATCAGAGACTTCAGCATCGAATGATGCCATTTCTTCTGTCCATTGACCTTGAAGAACTGGAACAATGTCACCAC